TCCCCTCCGGCAGCTAGAAATTATATAGTATGCCCACTAGGTCGGTGACAGTTGTTGTGGATAGAAGTCCTTATCTTTTAAGCTTTAGCCTCTAAAGAAAGAGAATTTTCCAAGGTACCACCTCATGACATGAGCAAAGTCCTGAGGCAGCACCCTGCTGTTTTAAGATGTACACTCTAGTTAATCCTCTTTCATTCAAAGGAGAGATGTTTGTCCTTTTTTTCATCAAGTTGGAAGAACCCTTTGCTTTCAGAGAACTGACTCTGCCATTCATCAGCATCAGGCAGCCACTTTTCTAACTGGCTCTCAGTATAACAGTGGTTTGTCCTACCTGTCCATCATTCCTTGATTACACAATCAGATGTTTCCCCTTGTGCTGGAACCATGTGGAACTGGCCTTTCGGTTGTTTGGCAGAGATTGCAGATACCTAAATCCAGAAACCTTAGGGGCAGGCTGCTCTCTGGCCAGGGTGGGATGACTTTGGGCAGGTGTCATTTCCAGGTACAGAAATGTCTTCTTTCAGAGGCACTCCCAACTCCCAAGCTGCTTTCTTTATCTGCAGTGCATTTGCAAGATACCCCAATGGAGTGGTCGTGCACTACTTCTGCTCCAAAGAGGTGAACTCGGCTGACACCTGATGAGCCCAGCCTGCCAAGCGCCGCTATGGACAGCTCGCTATCCCAGAGGATGAAGGAGCACCCGGTCTACGGGATCAGAGGCTGCCACCCCCAGTGTCTTGTTCGTACAGTCCTGGACACCTTGTGCCCTAGAACTTCTCTGAATTAATCAGACTTGTGGTCCGGCATTGCCAGCTTTTTAATAGAGAAAATGGATTAGAAGACCTTGCACCACCATGTTACAGACAAGTCCAGATAGTTTATTACTGCTTCCTTGGACAGGAGGAGGTAGGGGAAGTGCACCAGCTTGCCTTTTGCACATCAGTGACCTGAGTAAGGAAGCTTATCTCAAGTATTTGTAACCACAAATACTTTTGTGGACTTTTTTTGCTTTGTGCACGGTTTCACAGGGGCCCCCAGTATGGCTGACTGGAGAGTCTTGTGAGAGAACAGAACTGTATACAGCAAACGGCTAGTTTTGTATGTTGCGACAGTTATTTGTCTATGATTACTATACCCTATGTCCTCAAGTAATACCCTCCGTTACCTTTTCATTTTTCCTTTTCTTCTCTTTCACACCGTTTATTTTCTTCCTTTATCTGTACCCTCACTGTCCCACCTAGGCTATTCCGTATACTTTCTTGATATCAAGAATAATTAAGATTTCAATAAGATTAAAATGAGAAGTCAGGGAATTCTATGTTCCTAGGAATACAATGATAATGGATTGCCATGTACTTATAAATAGTCTCTAACTGGCATACCCTCTTTGCTGAGAAGCTTCAGAGCACACTCTCCATAAGGGCATGTTTTGGTCACCTCTTTCTCTGCTCCACTTCTTGGGCCAGTGCTGCTGTAGTTCCCAAGGGCTAGGCCGATGCAGACCTGATTACATGACCTTGTTGCCAGGCATTCCACAGAGGCACCTGCTCCCAGTTCCTTAACCAGCCGCTCAGCTCAGGCTGATTTAATTTCTTTGATTATAGTTCTTTGTGTTGTGGAGGACTTTTTGTCCCCCAATCCAATTTCCATCTACTTACTTTGTATCTTGGCCTGACCATTAGTTCTGTAGCTTTGTTTTGAAGGAATTGGAGGAACGTGCTAGGATTTTTCTGTCCATGGATCACAGCTCCAAATGGGAACGTTCCATTAGGAGCTCACAGTAATGCGATCTCAGGTGTGCTTGTGGGGTGTTCGGGGACAGCAGACAATGGCAGCACGTGGCTTAGGAAAGAATACACTATCATGTCTGTGCAGCCCGGGGAAGGGAAACCTGCCTGCCCGTTTCCTCGAAGTGCATGGTGTGGAGTGTCTAGCCCTGGAAGCTGAAGAGACATGAGGACAAGGAGTCTTGCAGCAGCCTTCCCTGACATTTCTACGCATGTGCAGTCTTATTGCCCTAAAATATCTTTAACATGTGTGAGGGTACGTAACGGTGGCCCAGCATTGACACTGCTTCAGTTGCCTGTCCTTGACATTCTGTGATTGTCTGTAAACCACAGCATCATGCTGTTTGTCCTGTGTTGTAAGCAGACTTGCTTGGGTTGCTGCTGGTAAACTCAGTTCTACCGCGCCCCTCCCCTCAACAGCCCCATTCACAGAGATGGGGCCTTGTTCTCACAGTGATGGGTCAGGAATGTGCTTCAGGAGAGCCACAGGCAGCAGCAATATGTGGAGAAAGACAAACCGTGGCCCAGGCTAGCCACACCTACCCAGTGTGGCCTGGGCCCTGTTTGCACCAGCTGGACTTTGCTGCCGTGGACACAGCGTTGGAATCGCCAAGAGACTTGCCCACGATGTGGCTTGGCCTGCTGCATTTGTATCTGCGTCTTTGTTAACTATGCAGCAAGTAGAGCAAAGAATTTGTGCTTTCTTCCTTAGTTTGCACAAGGTACTCAGTTTCCTGAACTCCATTCTTTGTTCCCAAGACTCTGTCCTCCCAGAGTCTGGAGGAGGCTGGACATGAAAACTCCGTAATGAGGCCTGATTAAGATCTCATAAAAATAATAATAAAGTAAGACGTCGAGCCTATTTTGTCTCTCTCTCTTTTTTTATCCCTCCCATAGAGTTTGGTAAAAATAATGATGAATGGTATTGTTCTCAATGAAAATTGGAAATAATAAACCAATTAATAGCAACTGAGACAAGAAAAAAATATTTACGTAGTCTCTGACCTGTGATGTATTCAAATTGTGATGAAGCTGCTTGCAACTATGTTTGGATTATTTTTGTTGTTGATATAACTTATCATTATAATGTGTCCTACATAGAGTACTGAAGCATACCATTTGCTGCTGTAATCATTCTCAGGCCAAACCCAAAGACAAAGATTGAATTTCTAAAGATACTGATAATAAAATACAATGATAATGAGAACGTTTGAAAATATATTCAAATATATGTCAGACTCAACAGTAGAACCATTGGACTGGAACAAGGAATGGAATGGAATTGGAATGGAACCTTTTCATTTTATACTATATTATGTTGATCTCTGCTGGCCAGTATAGTAGCCATTATATGCATGTAGCTATTTAAGTTTAGCTAAAAGAAAAGAAAATATGTTATTACACTGGCCATATTTCAAGTGTTCCAAGGCCACCTGTGGTTATGGCTCCTGTGTTGACAACACAGATAAACACTTCCATCATCGTAAAATTCCAGACTGCACTGGATGGAACTCCAATATCCAAAAGGGTTTTTGTTTCTATTTCACCCTGTAGGACTTGGTGCCTCTTCTGACAGTAAATGACTGGAAAGGTCATCTGAGACTCGTATGGAATCAGTGGGATTGAGGGACCCAGGAATATGTGAGAAGCAGAGAAGTCTTGGCCCACCTCGGGCAGCTCTGGAGAGGCAAGTTGGTCCTTATGAGTTGCCCCTGTGTTGAGACTTTTGTGGCCATCTTGTGTTTCTGGGAACAAAAAACAGGAGCTGAGTCGTAAGGCTTAGTTTTGAGGCATGTGACAGATGATTTCCAAAAGAATATGATAGGACAAAAAACCCACTCAAGTCAGGAACCCTGTATCCTATATTTACTACCAGGTAGGTCTGGGCCCCTCTCCTTGGCTCCTGTATCCGAGGATCATCTGTAGAGATCATCAGGAGAGCCGGACTCTTAATTCCTGAGACCCCATTCCAGAACTTGATGTTTCAAATTAAGTGCAACCTGGCCCTCCCCTTGTGAACGGGCCACTGGCAGTCACCTCTTTAATTCCGGGAATTTCTGGTCTGAACTTGCCAAAGAGGTTTGCTTGAATTGAATCATCTCTTTGAATATTGTTCTCTTATCCTCCAATTTTAGGTGTTGGAAAAGAGTAGAAATGAACAGATCTTGGCTGTTGGGGAAGAGGGGTTGCAAACCTTTCGCCAAATGGCTTTCATTGCTGCAAAACCTTTCTGCTAGAAAGGTGGTTCCTGCCCTCTGCAGCCTGTGACACAGGTTGGTAAAAAAGGCATAGTAAAAAAATAGGGAGTTGCAAAGCCTTCTTAACTCTTGTGGGTTAATGGCCAGGGGACAGATCTTTTTCTTGGCCTTGTTAGTACTTACTTGACTACGCCCTGGTCCAGCCTATGTGCTTGGACCGAGCAGGTGCTTCCACAATCCAGAAAACAGTACCTTCCTCACCTCTGTGTCCTGAGGCCTAGTGCAGGTCTGACACAGAGCAGGCCCTCGGTAAATGGGAATGAAATGAGGGGGTCTGGTGGTGCAGTGGTTTAGGCATTGGGCAGCTAACCAAAAGGTTAGCCCTTAGAATCCACCAGCCACTCCATGGGAAGAAGATGAGACAGCTGCTTCTCCAGAGATTTGCAGCCTTGGCAGCTCTGCAGTCAGCTCTCCTGTGTCCCCCAGGGTTGCAATGGGTCAGTGTCACCTCTTTGGCAGTCAGTTTGGATGAGTGATTAGAGACACCTTTTTGAGTCCAACTGAAGCACTGAGCCAGAGATTGTGTGCTTCCATGAGCCATTGGGGAAAGGGGCACTTGGAAGGCAGGTAGTTTCAGGCTTTTTTGAGACTTGTTCCTGACCTAGCACCTCCTGACTGCTGGTCCATAGAGTGCTTGTTGGAAATAGGAACACATTCAACTTAGTGTGTATCAGAGGGCAAGGATCAGATATCTATTCCTCAAGGCGGGTGAATTTGGGACCCACAGTGCCCCTTCCCCATCCTCTTGAAGAGAAGAATAAACTCTTGGATCTGCTTCCTGCTTGAAGAAATTGGTGCTAGTCTTCCTGGAGCACCTCAGACCCCACCTCCAGCTTGTGCATACAGGGCCACCCAGCCCCACCCTCCCCACCCCAGTGCTACCTGTCAGACCTGAGCTGGAGTGTAGTCAGAGGAAAGCAGGCAGGGCTTCCTGCTAGCTCTGAGTTGCCTGGCCATGCTCTGGGCGTTTTGGCCAGGATGGCTGGCAGGCAGGGGTCTGCCCCTCCTAGGGGCAGTGCTACTGCGGAAGAGAGAGAAGACGGGACCTCAGTGGAAGAACAGGCAGGTAAAGTACCAGATCTCAGTGGGAAACGTGGCCTGAGAAGCCCGGGGAGATGTCCTTGTGAGGATTGATATTACATATTGACCCCCAGCCCTGAGACTTGGGTTTTTTGTTTTGTTTTTTTATCTGAGTGGGACCACATTGTCCTATACAGCCTTGCAGAGCTTGAGTTAGAGAGACTGATCAAGACCTCAGCTCTTTAAAGTAACCACCCCCACCCAATTAGCACGTGGAGGCTGAGGTCATGTGGTACTTGAATTGGTTGCTTTTTGCCAAGGATGGCTGAGCTTGGCTGTGGGGTTTACTGAAGGAAGGATCTTTGAGGAGCTTACTGGGATTTTGAGGGGTTAGCTTCACGCTAGGGAGCCTTGATGGCATAGTCGTTAAGCACTTGGCATGAAGAGTTAAGCAGTGTGAAACCACCCACCAGGCACGTGGAGAGAGATGTGGTAATGTGTTTCCATAGAGAAAACAGCCTTGGAAAACTTATGAGACACTTCTACTCTGTCCTACAGGGTCGCTGAGTCAGAGTCAAAATGATTTGAGGGTCTAGCTTCACTCAGGAGTCATGAGTGATGCCCATAGTTAAGTGTTCAACTGTTATCCTTAAAGTTGTTGCTTCAAATCCACCCAGAGGTGTCTAGGAAGAAAGGTCTTGCAATCTGCAAAAATTCACAAGCCTTGAAAACTCTGTGGGGTACAGTTCTGCTCTGGCAAATATGGAGTCTGAACTGACTCAACAGTAACCAATAACAAGACGTTTCACCCTGACGTGACTGCAGTCAATGTTATCTCCCTGGAGCCAAGGCTGTGTTCTCCATAGTGACTGGTCTGATCTGACTCTCTGGGTGACACTCGGCTTCCTTCTCGTCAGTGGCCAGCTGCTGCCTGGTGGCCCTCATCAGGGAGCCGGGGCGGGTACATCAAAACTTTCTCTTTTAATATTTAATCTCCTGACATGCCTAACTCCAGCTCTCACTTCCGTTCCCAAGCAACAGCAGGCACCTGGGGGAGCTGTAAACAATAAAGATGGCACAGGATTGAGCAGGGTTTATTCTGCTGTTTTAGGGTCACTATGAGCCGGACCCAACTTGACAACTCCTTATAACAATAACTAGTTAATGTCTACCTAGAGAGCTCTGGTGTCTTAGTGGTAAGGAGTTGCGCTGCCAATCCAAAGGGACAGGGTTAGAATCCACCAGCTGCTCTGGGAGAGAAAGACAGGCAATCTCTACTTACTGCCTCTGAAAACCCCATGGAGGGACAGCTATGGGCTGGTTTTGACTTGATGGTACACAACAACAATAACAACAACAGTGGCTACTTTTTTTGAACTTCTCTCAGGCCCTTCATAAAAATTTTAACTTAAAGGTCATCATAACATTACGAGCTTATCACAACTCACATTTTATGGATGGGAAAGCAGTCACCAAAAAAAATTCTGCCTCAGGCACTTAACTAGTTGACAGTGGAGTCTAGACTTGAACCTGGACTACACTGACACCAGGATCCAGCTTGTCACCAGTGTGAACTTCAACTCCTCAGCCCAGCACAAGTGTGTCCACGACTCCAGGCCTGGTTACTGCTCTGCGGTGCCAGTGGGCAGGGGCTCAGGCTGGGCTTCTGGAAACTGAGTCCTTGGGCTCTATTGTTTCAGAGGGAAACCCACCCATACTACAACCTCCAGGTGAAGGTGCTGAAGGCCAGGAATATCGTGGGCACAGACTTCCGTGAGTGACCCCCGTCTCCATCCTCCCCTTCCTGTCCTGGTGGCTTCCCTTGAGCTCAGCAAGGTCTGGCAGATGTGTGTAGGGTGGTAGTGTGTGTGGAGGGAAAAGGGACAAATGAGGGAGTGTAGGCCCCAGCTCTGGGGGGGAGGCAGCTGGGACTGGGGGCGGGGAAGGCTATGCAGACCCCGTGATCCTCCCTGAGTCCAGGAGGTGGAGCATGGTGAGCCCAGGTGGAAGTGTGAGGCCTGCCTGGCACAAGCCAGCACCTGTTGACCTGGGTCTCGTCATGCCAATGCCCGGGGTGGGGGGGGAGTGATTCAGTCAGCCTCCACCAATTGGCCATGGCAGGCTTTCTGGCTTTATTTGGTTGAGTGGAAGGTGTAAACTGGTCAAGATAAACCCTCAGGGGCTCTCTCCCATCTGCCCACCACACTCCGATGGGGGCAGCCTCCTCTTCCAGCTCTGCTGTTGCTCCTCCATCTCCAGCTCAGCCTCCTTCAGGCAGCCTTCAATCTGCAGTTGTCCCCTCCCTCTTTCACCTGCAGTGTCCAAAGCTGACTGCTACGTGCAACTCTGGCTGCCAACAGCATCGCCTACCCCTGTACAGACAAAGACCGTGGCCAACTGCAGTGACCCCGAGTGGAACGAGACTTTCCACTACCTGGTCCACAGTGCTGTGAAGGTGAGGGCCAATGAGGGGGCTGTGGAGGGGGAGAGCTCCTCCAGGATGCCCACCCTCCTGCTCTGTTCAGATTCTGGCCTCCCTTCTTTTGCCTTATTCCTAGAACGTCCTGGAGCTCACCCTCTATGACAAGGATGTCCTACGCAGTGACCGGCTCTTCTTGGACCTGTTTGACCTGAGGAGCCTCAAACCTGGCCAGCCTATGAGGCGCACTTTCTCACTAGACCAGGTGAGTGTCTCCTGCTGTACTGGTGATGAGTCAAGGTCAAGGAGAGGAGACTTAGAGCTGGGGGGCTGGTGAAGGATGCCTGATCACCATGAACCAAACCTTCAAGACAGACTCCTCCACCAACAGCACAGGCCCATGAGGTTTCCCCTCTAATACTTCTTCCCTCTGTGAACCAGAGGATGAACTCCATGAGGGCAGAGCTTTGTCTGTATCTGTTGGCTGCTGAATTCTTGGTGCCTAGCACATTGCCTGACACACAATTTCTAATGAAGAGAAGAGTGTGGCTCCTGTGCCCATAAGGAGCGTCAGCAATCTCCTCTGCTGGTTCCTGGGGCAGGACTCTGGGGGGGGGCAAGGACACCAGGTTTTGTGGGAGGGACAAGCTCTGAGACTTTCAGAGCCTGTTGTAAACTAGCATCTCCCTGCCCTCTCTGTATAGGCCACACAAGAGCTGCAGGTGGAATTTGTTCTGGAGGAAAGGTGAGTCCAGACACAGCCTATGCCCACTCATGTGGTCTGGGATCTGAGTCAGAGTAGCTTCCAGCTGCCCATCACTGGGCCCTGTGCTGGCTTTGCAGGCCTGGCCTGAGAGGAGATGGCCTGGTCTTGAAGTCCATTTGAGCACTGGACAATAGACTCACCCTACCCTTGAACTTGATCACACTCCTCAAACTCCCCCAGCTACTTTGAGCACGTCCCTATAGTAACATCCATCAGGAGGTGACCAATGAGTGTGTCAGATCATGAGCCCTTTATCCTTTGCAGCCAGGTGCCAGCCTCTGAAGTCATCACCAATGGGGTCCTGGTGGTGAGTGGGGAAGGGGAACCTTAGGCGGGGAGGTGGCAGTGAGGCACCCATGGCTGAGCCCAGTGGTGCTTGGTCTCTAGTCTCTGAAGGAGACTCAACCCCGCTTCGGAGGGAGATGTGCTGGGTGTCTCTCCTCACACCTGTGTACATAATCCAGACCCAGTCAGTCTTCCTACCTTGTGGTGATGTGGGCTACAAATGTCACAGCACATTACTCAGCTCGGGTGCTGACTGGTGAAGGAGTACCATCAAGGTCCCTCATCCCCAACTTTCCCACCAAAGGTCACTTCTCCTGAGCCTTAGGAGGAAGATCTGAGTGTGATCTTAGGGCCAGTTAAAGAGACTCTGCCCCTTCGAGGCACACCCTGGGAAGGTTGTTAGGGGGCTACGGCTCCGGATACTCTCTGTTCCCTCTGTCCTGGCTCAGATAATGTGGAGGGCCTTTGGGGCTGCTGGCTTCCATATACCTCTGTTCCCCCAGGCTCAGCCATGTCTGAGAATCCAGGGCACAATTGGGGAACATGGGACAGCCACACATCAAAAGTTTGGTGAGTCTGGTTACTGGCTTTGGGTCTTGCCTTCTCTCCTGGGGCTGGGAGGACTGGCTTCAGGGAGGTGGGTGTGGGAGAGCAGTTCTTTAACAATGTTACTGCTGATCAGGAATGGAGTGGGCTGACACCAGATGTCATGAGTTTTCTGTCCCTGGAAGTGTTCAAGCGTAAAGGTTATATCAATAAAAAAAGCACAACAGAAAACCTCAGTGGCATACAACTGAATCAAAACTGAAACCGCAAAAAAAATATTACCCTCAAAACTGAACCCACTGCCATCATTTCAATTCTAATTTACAGCAAGCCTAGAGGACTAAGTAGAACTTCTCCACAGAGGGTTGGTTGTTCGTTTTTTGGTGTGTTTTTTTTTTTAATTTTTCCATAGAGGTTTTGAGACTTTGAATCTTTCTAGGAGGAAACTGTCTCATCTTTCTCCCAAAAAAGTCAAACTGTGGATTTTAGGGGTTTGCAGCCCAATGCTTAACCCACACTGCTACCAAGCCTCCCTGTGTCACACAAAAGAGAAGCATTTCTTTAACTCACATATCGAGTGCACATCTATGATGTCAGTTAAAGACTAAAGTGCACCTGCCCAAGCCATGTTCATTTCAGTTGCTTCATGTGTTTGTGAAAACTGGACAGTGGTTAAAGGAAGACCAAAGGATTGATGCCCTTGAACTGAAGTTGGCAAAGGATAAGAACTGTCAAAAGAACTAACATATCTGACTTGAACTAAGTGCAGCCAGAATGCTCCTCAGAGACAAAGATAATGAGACTTTAGGTCCAGTCATTGGAAAGGGATAGCATAATTAGGAAGGTGGTTGTTGTTATGTGCTGTCGAGTCGCCTGCGATTCATAGTGACCCTATGTACAACAGCCCTAAACCCTGCTCTATCCTGTGCCAATCACACTGTTTCTGACACTCCCATCCTGATTACCCCAGTCACTGACTCAATCCACCTCATAGAGGGCCTTCCCCTCCTGCGCTGTCCCTCCACCCTCCCAAGCATGATGTCCTTCTCCAAGGACCGGTCCCTCCTTACAACATGTCCAAAGTATGTTAGACGAAGCCCCAGAATCCTTGCCTCCAAGGAGCCACCCGGTTTGACCCTTTCCAGGATGAATCTGGTTTGTTTTTCTAGCAGTCCATGGTACTCTCAATACTCTTCTCCAGCACCACAGCTCAAAGGCATCAATTCTCCTTCTATTCTCCCTAGTCATTTAGTCAATTAGGAAGGTAGAGAGAAAAAACTCTAAGGAAATAGATGGACACCATGTGGGTTTAAGCACCAGATCAGGCAAGAGTTAGATCTGTTGTATGTAGATTGCTGTGAGCTGGAGTTCACTCAACAGCACCTGACAACATCTAGTCTTCAGCCAAGGTTTTGTGAGTATTTTCAGTTAGGCTGGATAAATACACTAAGCAAGACAAGGTAATATGATTATCCCTGCTTTATGTAAGAGGAAATGTTAATAATGCTAAAGTTATTTATCCAGAATTAGTGAGTGATCATTGTTAAAGACAATCTTAACTGTCAGTATTTTCGCTCAGAATCCCTTCTGTTTATTTCTTTTGGGCTTTGTCCTGCGTGTCTTTCAGTCACACACGGAACATGTTTTTTAAGAAAAAGCCAAGAAACGAGCACAAATCCAACTGAGCAAATTATTTTTGCCACACAAAGATCACTATCTAGGATTTTATTGGTCAAAGCAAGTTAAATGGCTGAGCCTAAAGTTGAAGGTCATGGATTATTCTCAATCTCTTTAGGAGTGGAAAAGTCACATGACATTGAGAAGGAATTCAGGGAGAAGTGAAGAAATGGGGCCACCAAGGTTCTATACCTCAGTAATTTGGGAGGAGAGGATTCTAATGTGGAATTGGAGCACCGGCTGAGGTCCCTTCCAGCTCACGGAGTCAGAGACTGGCCCAGATAACACAGAGCATTTACTGTGTGTCAGACATTATGTTGAGTAGTTTATGAAGGATAGAAATGGTCCATCCTGGAAAGATGACAAGTTGAGTGACATGATGTGGCTCCACTGGACGAAGAGGGGAAAAAAGTATGTTGTTGGAGCAGGAACTAAAATAAACATTGCAAAATCACAACTGACTGAGAGACAATCAGGGGAGGCAAAAGTGGGATTTCTAAGAGGTAGAATTTAGCAAAGATAGGTGGATTATACACAAATTAGATTACACATATGTTAAGAGTATCATGTTATCTAGTTTATTCTAGGGTAATGGAAGGACAGGTTGTTCTGGTAATCTGCTATTAAAATTGCTTTCTCAGTCTTATCTGTTTCTGGGAATCCATTGTAAAGATTTATCAATAATGCTTCATAGGCTTTATAACCTTTTAGATATAAGATATTACACCTTGCCCTGCCCCAGGGCCTGCTGCCACCCGCCTCCCATGATGGCTCTAAAGAGAATCCACAAGGAATTGAATGACCTGGCAAGGGACCCCCCCAGTACAGTGTTCAGTAGGTCCTGTTGGAGATGATGTGTTCCATTGGCAAGCTACAATAAGGGGGCCAAATGACAGTTCCTATCAGGTATTTTTCTTGACAATTCCTTTCCCAACAGATTACCCCTTCAAACCACCTAAGGTTGCATTTACAACAAGAATTTATCATCCAAATTTTAACAGTAATGGCAGCATTTGTCTTGATATTCTATGGTCGCCGTGGTCTCCAGTACTATTTCAAAAGTACTCTTGTCCATCTGTTCTCTGTTGTGTGATCCCAATACAGATGATCCTTTAGTGCCTGAGATTGCTCAGATCTACAAAACAGGTAGAGAAAAGTACAACAGAATAGCTCGGGAATGGACTCAGAAGTATGCGATGTAATTAAAGAAATTATTGGATAACCTCTACAAATAAAGATAGGGGAACTCTGAAAGAGAAAGTCATTTTGATTTCCATTTGACTGCTTTCTATGAGCCCACGCCTCATCTTCCCCTGTGCACATGTTTACCTGATACAGCAGTGCTGCGTGTTGTACCTATTTGGAACAACAAACTAGAAATACTGTACTCCTGTACCAACATTGCCTCCTAGCAAAGAATTGTGTGTGTGACAAGCCAGTTCTCCAGGCATAAGCTAAGTGTGAGACTAAAAGCTTTCTTTATTGACTTATATTTGGATAATGGCAAGGTGAAGGGTAGTGGGAATGGTGTGTTGTGCTTGATGGGGAAAAACAGCTCCACTAACCTGTAGGAGTTTGCTTTTAAGTGGAATCTTTTAAACCTAAAACAGCTAAGAAAAACAAGGAGAAGAACGTGAAGCTTATTTCTGTATTCATTTTATTCTGAAGGACCTACGTCTAAGATGAAAGTTATGGCCAACCAAATTAATCTCTTCCCACACATCCTATATTTTGAGGTTTAAGTTTAATTTGTCAGCATTTAAGTGGATTGGAGCAATTATTAGTATATAAAGTGTAATGGGCTTTGTTCCCAGTTCTTTTACATCTCCCAACTCCTTCATTCTTCCTCCTTTCAACCTCCTTTTCTCTTCCATATTCTTTGATTTGTATGTGGTTTCTCAGTTAATACATAGGTAATAGCTCTTATTTTTCTTAAGTTTTTAACTACTTAGGCCTATCTGGATGTAAGGGTGAAAATACATTTGATGGAAATACTCATATATATTTAATGACCCAGTTCCTCCTCTGGAGCTTGTGCGTTCAAGAATGATTAATCTGTGTAATAAACTGATTACTACAGTCATTACATATAACTTTGTGTGAATAGGCTTTTGATTTTAAGAACTCTGGCTAGCTCAGATTAGTGGTGGATTTCCCCCCACACCCGAAATACTTTACTTTGTATTGGTTGCATTTTAAAGTCATGAAACAATTCCAGTTTACATAGTAAAAAGAATATCTCGAGAGTATTTTACTGAATAGGATAGGGACATAAGCTGAAAACATTTCCATAAAACTTAGATGTGCAGCATTCCAGGAACATGACTGTTAAACTAAATATGAAATTTGCTTTATTAATGAAACTCAGCTGCATTTCACCAAAACCTTGTGTTCCCTTGGTACATAGGATGTATAGCACAAAGGCAATGCTGTTTGGTAAGTTAAGCCTCTGTGACTGTAATTGTGAAAGAGCAACATTTACCAAACCTGGGAAACATGAGCACAATCTTGTGTTGGAGAATCTATGTGATTACTTTGCACTAACATTTACAGGATGTTCATCTAATTTTAAATTGTACTGTATGTGGCTTTTTTGAAGTCTTCCCTTGACTCTAGTAAAATGTAGTTTGAAACTTGTAAACAACTGTGTTTGCCAGAAGCATTGTTATGTGAACTAGCAAGTTACCTTTTTCCCCTTTCCTTCTCCTAATCTAATTGTAAACCAGGCCAGCCTGAAGATCATGGCTGATGCTCTTTAGCCATCAGGTTCTTTCAAATGCATCTTTACACTCTTGCACAAAAATTGAGGAATAAATGTCCACTGCTTTTGTTTTTTAAAAAAATAAGATATTACACCTTGCATCTGTTTGACCATAGTGGAAAAACTCTCTAAGAATAGGTTGTGATGTCCTGTACCTGCCAGATCTGAGAGAAAAGGATTGTCTCCTTTATGGTATAATGTATGTCAAAGGTAAAGGAACTACTGTTAGAAATGTTGGGCATTTGGGCTGTTTCTATGTTCTTGCAATCAATGGTGAATAATGCTATTATGAACATTGGTGTGCAACTGTTGTCTCATTTTGGAGTTGGAGAGTTGACTTTGAGTCATGAAGTTAAATGAGGACTTCTTTTTCTTTCCCAAGGGAGCACTGATAGCATTGTCCATAGGGAATTGCACTGCATCACAGAGGCCCACTCCTCTGTGAATCCACCCTTGCTCTACAGGACAAAGATGGGTAATTGTCTCCTGTGTGACTGACAGCCTTGGAAACCCAAGAAAGGGTCAGCTATGAGTAGGTTCCACTCTATGGCAAGAGGTTTTCTCCATCCTGGAGTCCCTGGATGTTGTAAACAGTTAATGAGCAGCTGCTGACTGAAAGTTTGGAGGTTGGAATCTGCCCAGAGATGGAGAATTGACTCTACAGCCATAGGTTTTCTCTCTCATCTCCAGCTTTAACATTCAATGTGGATTCTAGACTCAGGTTAAGACTTTAAAATGGAGTGGTTGTTGTTATATACCATTGGGTCAGAATAGATTTATAACTGACCCTCCAGCAGGTTTTCAGAAGCAGTAAATCACATGGAGGAGCGCTGGTGGATTTGAACTATGTGGGCAGTACAGCTCCTTACCACTAGCCACCACAGCTCCTTAAAATAGAGCCAAGACTCCGCTTTCAGACAACTGTCTTTATACACATCAAGGGCCTCTGATCTCAAACTCTCATAAAGTACGATTATGATCTTCTTTTACTCATGAGACCTCTGTCTGGTGCAGATGGTTAACATGCCTGACTGCTAACCCGAAGATTGGCTGTTTGAATTAATATGGAAACCTAAATGTGTATATGAGGTACTTGGCAAGAGTGAGGAGGAGCTAAGAAATCCATTTTGTGTAAAAAACCTGTAGAACTAGAAAACTGAACTGGTTCTGCCTGCCAAGAACAATAGTGCCCTTTGTTTTCAGGATTGTATGTAAATTCTGCGTTCCCAGAAAAGCATATTCTGTGGCTGCTCTGTGACCCCTGAGTGCAGCAGGGCACCCCTATCACTATGTCGTAACCATCTTAACTCACTGAGCACCATTCAGAACTTTATCAGTTTGTTTCCAAAGAAGACATAATGCAAACAAGCCATTTCTATAGTTTGTTCCCCAGGAGCCTTGAAACAAACCACGGATCCTGAGTGCCCACATAACTAAACCATTGTGAAGGCTTCCCTTCTGACAATAATGTACTTAAGGAACTGTCAATCAGAATTTTTTTAAAGTTTCATTTCCTTCTTTAACAGTTCTCTAATTCAGTGAGTTTTGCTAGTTTCTAGGCTATTATTATAATATAGTTTATAAGATATATAACTATATTGATGTAATGATAGTTTGAATCCACCAGTAGTTATGAGGGACATAGGTAGGCACTCTCCTCCTAGGCAGTTTAAAGCCTCTGAAAACCCAGTGGAAGGTCAACTGTGAGTTGGTTCCAACTTCATGGCAGTGAGGAGTTTTTAAAAAAGTTTTTGTATGTTTGTTGTTGTTAGGTGCTATCAAGACAAGTGTGACTCATAGTGACCCTATGAACAACAGACTGAATCCTGTCTTCTCCTGTACCATCCTCATCATCTCTGCCACACTTGAGCCCCTTGCTGCAATCACTGTTCCAATCCATCTCACTGGGAATCTTCCTCTCTTTAACTGACCTTCCATTTTCCAAGCATGATATCCCTCTCCAAGGAATAGCCTCTCCTAGTAACATGCCCAAAGTACTGAGAGATGAAGCTTCACTGTCTTTTCCTCCTAGGAGGACTCTGACTGCACTTTTCCCAAGACGTCTATTTGTTCTTTTGGCAATCCATGGGTTATTCAGTACTCTTCTCAAAGGCTTCAGTTCTTCTATCATCCTATTTATTTTCCGGTTCTCAGATGCATAACAAGTAATTAAAAAAACCATGACCTGAATCAGGTGCACCTTAGTCTTCAGACTGATATTATTGCTCTTCAGTATTTTGGCGAGATCTTTAAGAGTAGACTTCCCAAATGCAATATGTCTCCCGATACCAAGGATGTTGATTGTGGATCCAAGTAAGATGAAATCATTGACAACTTCAATCCTTTCTCCATCAGTCATGATGTTGCCTGTTGGCCTACTGGTGAGGACTTTTGAAATCTTGATATTGAGATGTAATCCATATTGAAGGCTGTAGTCCTTGGTTGTCTGCCGCAAGCATTTCAAGGTCTACTCACTTTCAGTAAGCAAGCAAGGTTATGTCATCTATATAGTGCAGATGGTTGATGAGCCCTCCAATCCTGATGCCACATTCCTTTTCATAGAGTCCAGTTTCATGAATTACTTACTCAGCATACAGTCTGAATAGTTATGGAGAAAGGATACATCCCTGATGCACATCCTTCCTGATGTTAAGCTATGCAGTGTTTGTTCCTTTGCTCTGTTTAAATAAGAGACACATGGATTTCACCTGATGGACAACACAGGAATCAGATTGACTATATCTCTGGAAAGAATCATTGGAGAAACTCGACATCAGCAGTCAAAACAAGCCCAGTTGCTGACTCTGGAGCAGAACAATAATTACTCATATGTACGTTCAAATTGAAGCTGAAGAACATGAAATCAAGTCCACAAGAGCCAAAATACAGCCTTGAGTCTATCTCACTTGATTTCAGTTTTTATATTATAGTTATTTATATTTTGAGTTTATGTGTAAAGCAAGCAATTATTACTGTCAAATCAGAATCAACTCATAGTTGACCCTCCAACGGACTTTTGGAGGCTGTAAATCAAATTTCACGGGAGGAGATTGCCCATCTTTCTCTCTCAGAGCAATTGGCAGATTCAAATTGTCTGCTTTTCAGTTAGCAGAGCAATGTTTAAGGTTTCTAATGGCCTAGTGGTAATGTGCTGCACTGAAAACCTGCTGGGAGGTCAGCTATGAGTTGGTTCCAACTCAAAACAACAACAATATTCTAACTATAAGGATCCCTGCTGACACAGTGGTGAGTACTCATCTGTTTACTGTTCAGCAGTGCAAGCCCACTGGCCAGGTTGTGGAGAACCATGTGGCTGTCCACTTCTGAAAGATTTGCAGTCTCAGAAACCTTGTAAGGTTGTTTTACTTTGCCCTATAGGATTGCTATGAGTCAGGATAGACTTGGCAGCAACAGGTTTGCTGAGAGCTGGGCAGTGACTAAGGATAACAGAGGAATCAATGCCTGTGAGCTGTGGTGCTGGAGTAGAGTACAGAAGAGCCCATGTGCTGCAAAAAGAAGATATGTCTCAGAGAAAGTGCAGTCAAAGTGTTCCTTCAAGGCAAGTTGGTGAAGCTTTGTCTCACATGCTTTGGGCATGTTGCTAGGAGGGGCTATTCCTTGGAAAGGGTCATCATGGTTGGAAAGCTGGAGGCTCAGTTAGGGAGAAGACCCCCAACCAGATGGATTAACATAGTGACTGCAGCAATGGGCTCAAATATGACAGAAATTGTGAGGATGGTGCAGGAAAAGACAGAGTTTAAATCTTTTGTTCATAGCGTTGCTGTGAGTCACACTCAACATCACCCAACAACTTATTATAATTATATAGTATATTACTTTACATGTGTTATAGAATATAGTATAATTAATAGAACAATTATATTAATTATAGTCTAGACTATATACTATATAAATACATATAAGAAATCATATATCTAGAAATAATTTCTTTATTAATTATATAAGTTAGTAAATTAGATACTATAGTATGATCTAATATATACCAACAACCCTGGGTAGTGCTAATGGTTTGTGCTTGCCTACTCACTGAAAGATTGGCCGTTCAGACCTTCCAGAGGCACCCTGGAAGAGAAATCTAGGGAGCTCTGTTAGAATTACAATGAAGAAAACGCTGTGGCAAGTTCTACTCTGTAAGACATGGGTCAAGAGGAGTTGGAATCAATTTGATGGAAATGAATTTGTCATTTTTCATATATTTTTACAAAATGATGCTTAAATGCTCACCTTCTTTGTTTGCCAACCACATCCTCACCCCTTGAGATATTTTTATAAGCATGCTATGCTTATTTTTGGTTTTGCTTACAACAAAATGTTAAAAAAAGTTAAAAATCTGGCCTATAGAAAAAAGTAAATGAGAACGATTGCATGAAACACAACATGCATGAAGGATTGTGTAAAACACAATGTATATGATCTTTGTAAACAAACCAATATAAAAGAAAAATTTCTTTTTTATTTATATAACAGCAACAACATAAGTGGTAAATGTATATAATCATTCTCTTAACCTCACCTTTTGTGCTCATGCTGTGGTTAGCCTTCCTTGCCCAGATCTTCCTGTAAGCAATGTGTATTTCCCTGTTCCAGTTAAGGCAGCTGATAGGAACCCCAGGAGTGCTTCCTGATGCCTTTACTGGCATCACAGTGCCAGAGAGGGATCATGGTAGAAGCCCAGCTGCTCCCACCCTGAGCCACATAGACCCACCCACACTCACCCTTGCCTGGGCCCTCTGCTCTCAGGCCAGCGGCAGATCCAGCTGGCAGTGCCAGGAGCCTATGAGAAGCCACAGCTCTTACCTCTGCAGCCTCTTGTGGAACAGGGCTCCCTACCCACCTTCACCTTCCACATGAACCCAGTGGTAAGCTCCAGGCTGGATGTAGAGCTGATAGAGAAGCTCAAGGTCCTGCAGGTGAGTGAGTGAGTTCCAGTGAGGGCTGGGGTCCTATCCAGGGGGAAGGGGCAGGTGACAGGATCAGCCTAGGCTAGAAGAGCATTCCAGAGTCCATGGAGGAGCATCTTGGGTTTTTTTTTTGTTTTGTTTGCAGAGCAGCCTGGGAGTTGAACTGGAGACCCAGGTCAACAAGCTGGGTGAGGGGAGCATTCAACCCTCCTCTTTGCCTCTAGGCCAGGAGGAGCAGTGCCTCGTGGCCCTGGGGGAGGTAAGATTTCACCTGGATGGTAGAGGGACTTCCTGATCCAAGAGAGGCCTGGGGGTGGAGTCTTTAAAGGGTCTGGCTGGGATCAGCCTGGAGCTCAGCTGTGGTGTCCACACTACCAGAGTGCTAGGGACTGGCTGGTGGGAGAGCCACTTAACCAGGAGAGGACACTGAAGGTTAAGAATATTGTGTCTTTTAGGGCCAGGAGGTGGCTCTGAAAATAAAGGCAGAAATAAGGTAAGGAGGACCTTCAGGAAAAAAGCACTTGGGGTTTGCCTACAAGAGTGGGGCATGTACCCCAATGTGCTCTGCCTTTCTGTCCACTTGGCTTGGGCCAATAGGGCTATCCTTTTCTCTCACCATTTCTGGCTCTGTGGGAGGCCCTTGGGATCTTTCTGAGGGGGTTCCATGCAGTGTGGGGGCTTCTGCTTCTGTGGAGAATGGCCTTAATCTGAGCTTCTTCATGGAAAAGTTGCCTAGTCCTCATCCGCCACCCTCATCTCCTCCTGACGCAGCTCTAGGGACCTCGACCTGCGCCTTGGCTTTGGCCTCTGTGATGGGGAGCAGGAGTTTCTGGACAAGAGGAAGCAGGTTGTATCCAAGGGCCTGCAGCAAGTGCTGGGATTGAGTGAGGCTCCTAACCCCAACCAGGTATGGGATTATTAGTTTCCTGTTGTTGCTGTAATAGACTACCACAAGCCAGGTGGTTTACAATAACAAAATACCACAAACTAAATGTGAGAGAAATCTATTCTGTCACAGTTCTGGAAATTACAAGTAAAATAATCAGGAATCAGCAGGCTGTCCTCCATCTGAAGGGTCTAGGGGAGAACTGTTTGTCTCATCCAACTTCTAGTGGTTCCAGATATTCCTTGGTTTATGGCCGCTATAACTCGAATCTCTGACTTCATCTTCTCTAAAACTGTACGTTTAAGTATCGCTGTGAGTGGTACTGATAGTTAGTCGCTCTCAACTGCTAACCAAGATGTTGGTGGCTCGAGCCCACCCAGAGGCACCTCAGATAAAGAGTCTTGCTGATCTGCTTCTGGGAAACCAGGCACTGAGAAGCCTCCGGAGGTCACCATTCGTCAGAGTCAATGTGGCAGCCATTGGTCTAGTCTGTCAGGCATCCACTCTGAGGGTAGAGGCTAAAGAGGACACAAGCCCTGCCCACAGGAGGCTTGTCTCATCCTGTACTCTGAAGGCACAGAGCCTTCTGGGGCAGTGGCCAGGGGACGTTTTTCTAGAACAGAGAAGAGACAGAGAAAGGAACCAAAAGTCTGGGATAGAATGAACTAACCCCGCATGGAGAAGCCGAGCAGCCAAAAACTTCTAGTTTGATCCCGCCAGGCCTTTCTAATTCTGAAGAGACCTCAACATCTGGGCATCACATATGTCCAGGTTGCTTGACAGTCTTTGTCCCTTTTGCTTAGTAGTTCACAGTTGAGAGCCGTCTTGCCACCCAGGGGACATAAGGCATTAACTGTGGACAACTTCTTTGTTGTTGTCGTTATAACCGAGGGAAAGGATCTTACCGCTTTAACTCATAGGTCAGCCCTCACAACATAGAATTATCTTTTCTAAAATTTCAACAGTGCCAAGGTTGAGGATGCTCGCACTAGCTGGACTTGAAGGAATCCTCGCAGATCTGGCCCCTGCCTGGTATAACAGATGCAGACTGCCTGGTCTGAATCCTCGCTCATCCCTTCTAACTATATGCTCTCCAGCACATCATCTAACCTTGCTATGGCTCAGTGTCTGAGAGGATTAATGAGATACCACATGCAAGCCACTTAGGACATTGATTGACATGTACAAGCTAAATGGAGATGACAGTGGTCATTGTTGACGTTGTTATTTCTATGTCTCAGGTGCCCGTGGTGGCTGTGCTGGGTTCTGGGGGTGGCATCCGAGCCATGTCTTCCCTGTATGGCTGCCTGGCGGGGCTGCAGGAGCTGGGCCTCCTGGAAACCATAACCTATCTGAGTGGTGTTTCTGGGTCCACCTGGTGAGTGAAGTAGAAATGGGGTACGGAGGAAAGGAGAATGCTGGAGGAGGGACCTGACCTGGTGATCTGATTGGGTCATCCAGGAGGGCCTGGGATCCCATATGGAAGAGTGTTAGGAGGGACAGTAAGGGGGTGAGGCCCACGGTTTAGTAGGTGGTGCAGAGTGGTGGGGGAGGAGGGGATCATTCACCTCCTCTTGCTGCGCTCACTGTCCCTAACTCACAGGCACATCCTCGATCCCCAGGTGCATGTCCACACTCTACAATGACCCAGACTGGTCCCAGGTGACCTTGCAGGAGCCCATTGCCCGTGCCCAGGCCCGAGTCTGCAGCAGCAAGAAGGGAGCCATGTCTAGAGAGCAGATTCAATATTATATCAAGGAACTGAAGGCCCGGGAAAGCAGCAGCCACAGCATTTCCCTCGTGGATCTGTGGGGGCTCTTCATTGAATATTTCTTGTACCAGCAGGTAAGATAGAGCCAGCCACCGAGCTGGGTTCTCTAGGCCCCTGCTGCCATTGCACTTTGTTCTGCCTTAGGCCCCGGGCTAAGACCTGAGATTTGAAGGGCTAGCTGGCTCTGAGACTGAATTCCCCTAGGGGAAAGAGGTGATAGGTAGCTCAGGGTTTGCTGATACTATATTTAAGAAGAGCACAGCCTGTAATCCTCAGCACCATCTGCATGTTAGAGTCACCTGCACAGCTTTTCAAAAGCAACCATGTCTGGACTCTACTTCAAAAGCTGGTTACTCCAGTTGGCCTGGGACAGAGCCTAAGTGTTGCTGTGTTTTGAAAGATTTCCAAGATGCAGCTGAAGCAGACCCACCATTTATTTTTCGCTCATTGGCCAGGGCAATGCGCCTGGCTGCTGTCCCTGGAACTGCAGGCCAGGCTTCCACTGGGGAATGAGCCCGTTCCTACTGAGGTGCTCAGCCGAGGTCCTAACTCCCTCGGACAAGGTCATTGGTTGTCTATGTATGTCACAAATGGGTTATTATGCCTAAGTAAATAATTTGTATTTTCTAGTGATTTACACTTCCCTCCCCCCTTGTTGTCAAAGTAAATGCAACACAACATTCGCCAATTCAACACTTTTTCACGGTTCTACAAGATAGACTTACATAGTGACTTCAGCAAAATGGGCTTTCTAGTGTGTCTGAGATGGTGAGAACAGAACAGGATAGAGCAGATCAGCTGTTTAGATGGTTACTATGAGTCCTACTCAACTGAGCAGCACCTGTCAACAACAAACAACTACAACACTTCAGTAAAGAGCTCTGGTGGCCTAGTGATAGGAAGCTATGCTGTTATCCCAAAGGCATGCATGTGGTTTGAATTCACCAGCTACTCTACAGGAGAAGGATGGGCAGTCTCCTCCTGTGCTATTAAACTGCCTCCGAAAACCCACTGGAGGGTCAGCTATGAGCTAACTGAACAGTTTACAACAACAGCAACACTTCAGGGGCATCATTACATTGGCCTTATGCAACATCACTGGTATCCATCACCAAGTTTTCCATCACCATGAACAGGAAATTAATCTGCATAATCTAGTGATTTACTTTTCAGTTATTTCTTTAACAGTATCATTCCAACTCCGTATTCTGACATGCTTGCTTGCTTCCTTTCTTTCATTTTTTAAAATGCCTATAGGATATACTGACATACTTTCTTGAGTGTAAAAAAATTAGTTTCCAAAACATCCCCCACAGTGGCCTGCCTTACCTGTGCTATGCCTACAGCTTGTCTCTCCAGGAGCGCTATAGAGCCCTGGCCTTGGTGAACCAACCAAACCCTGTCTGAGCAGAGTGCTGGACCGTGGGCCATTGAGACAGGGACAGGGACTGGCAAAAGGCTAAGGTTCCACCTTTTTCTGCCCAGGAGAACCCAGTCAGGCTGTCGGACCAGCAAGAGGCAGTCAGTCGGGGTCAGAATCCTTACCCCATTTACGCCAGTATCAATGTCCGCACTGACATCAGTGGGGAAGACTTTTCAGGTGAGTGAGATTGTGGAGACAGAGAAAAAAAGCAGCAGGAATGGCCTGTGGGAGGACATAAAAGACCAGGGCACAGGTGAGAAGTGGCCAAATACAGCAGCCTCAGAGACCAATAGGGTTGCTGCCTCCTGCTCTTCTCACTTAGGCAACAGGGGGTCAGGGGTGCCAGGATCCTGGTGGGACATTTCCACTGACTTTCTTTGCTCTGGGTCCCCAGAGTGGTGTGAGTTCACTCCCTATGAGGTTGGTTTCCCCAAGTACGGGGCTTACGTCCCCACTGAGCTCTTCGGCTCTGAGTTCTTCATGGGGCGGCTGATGCAGTTCCATCCTGAGCCCCGGATCTGCTTCCTGCAGGGTGAGTCTGGGCTGGCCTGGCATTTCCGTCATCTGATGCTGCTATCACAGAGAGACGCTAACTGGGTGGCTTTAATGCATGGGAATGTATCTTCTCACAGCCTAGGAGCCGAGAAGTCCAAGTTCAGAATGCTAACTCTAGCAGAGACTTTCCATCTGTTGGATCTGGGGGAAGGGCATTTATTCCTTGGCTTCTTGGTGACCTTCATGTGGCACAGTGCCCTACCCTTTCCTCTTGTTTCTTTAATATCTTTTATATCTTGTAAAAGTTTAACTCAAGGACACCTTCTTTTAATACTACCATATTAATATAACAGACAACCCATTCTCAAACAGAATTATAAGTGCATGTATAGAGATTAGAGTTTACAGCGCTCATTTCATGTGACTGCCGAGGGCAAAATTCAAGCAAAGCAGAGGTGGGATTGTGAAGGTGGGCTCTGCCTGTCTCCGTAGGTGTGTGGGGCAGCGCCTTCACCGCCAGCCTCCAGGAGATCTTTCTGAAGAACGGCTGGGGCCTTGGCTTCCTGGAGTGGCTCAGCGGCAGCGTGAACAGCACAGGTAACAGCACAGACCCTGGATCCACTCACACCATCTCCCAGCAGTGAGGGTCCTGGCAGAGGGCCCTTCTTCATTGTCAATTTCTCACGCCTAGCCCCTGGCATGTAGGGACTGCTCAGAGTCTGATGGATAATATGCCAATTGGGATGACATATTAAAACTTTAATTTTTTAAAAATATGAGAAGTAACTTCTTATTTAATAAGTGATCTCACAGGCAGGTTTGGAAACATGGGGCACACAAAAGAAATTGTGATTTAGTAGGTTTGTATGTTAAATTTGTGGGGCAGGGGTTGGAGATCTTGGAGGCTCACTGGTGAGGAGGGTCTGTGTTGTGGAGGAGGATGAGGGTTTCCAGGGCCATGAGGGTGCCACACACGCAGGAGGGCATCACTTCTGGCTCTGTGTGACTGGGCCACCCTCACCCTAGACGACTACAGGAAGCTCCAGCCACATGACTCCCTGAAGCCACAGGACCCTTTACAGCCACACACGAAGCTCTTCACCACCCAGGGACCCTTTTCCCAATTCATCCAGGACATACTCACATCTCGCATTATCTTCCCGGAGAATTTTAACTTCACACGGGGCCTCTGCCTGCACAAGGACTATGTGACTTGCAGGGAGTTTGTGGCCTGGAAAGGTGAGTTCTGTTCTTGACAGGTGGGTGGTGGCTGGAACCCATCTTTCTGACAGCTTCTTTGAACCTGCCAGTGCTGCCTTTGATCTGGGGAATAACTCTGATTACTATACTGGAGGGCAGGACCAGAGATGGGTAGGAGGCCCCACAGCCGTCAGAGAAGAGAGTATCTATACACGTGAGATGGCTAGAGCAGCAGGCTGTTGTCAGAAAGCCTTTGTCCCTGTCCTTCTACTCCTGTCCTTTGTAGACTCACACCTGGATGCCCATCCCAACCAGCTCACCCCCATGATGGAGTGCCTGTCCCTGGTGGATGGAGGGTTTGCCATCAACTCTCCATTCCCACTGACGCTGCTGCCTCAGAGGGGTGTGGATCTCATCCTGTCCTTTGACTTTTCCTTGGAAGCTCCTTTTGAGGTGAGGGGGTCTGTGGATAGGGGGAGAAGTCTCTATTTAGTGACCTGGCTGACTTTGAGGGAATCACTCTTGTTGGAAGGCCTGGATTCTCATCTGAGTGGCTCCTCCCAGGGGCATGGTGAGTGCCTTTTGAGAGCTGGCAGCAGTAATGGTGCCCCCTCAGTGGGAGGAAGAGATTGTTGAGATGGGGGTCCCTAGGAATCTTTTCTGGTCATTGGAAGGCTTTCCCTGCCCTGTTCTGGGTCAGAGCCTGCTGGCCCTTTGTTAACAGAGCTGCCAGGACTCCCTCAGCCACTTCCTCGCTTCTGAGGGCTCTGTAGGGTGATGGACAGCCTCTACGCAGCATCTGCAGGTTCTGGCAGAGCCAGAGCTTCACTTCTCTCTTTGGCCTTCTCCTCCTGGTACAAATGTGGGCTGGGATTGAGTGACTGATAGAATGACTTCCAATGCTGACAACCTGTAATCGTTCAATGTCAGCTTTGTGAAATTGAAATCAGCCCACTAAGAGGGACAGCAGGTAGGGACTGAAGAACAGAAAGCAGGGTTGTTACACAGAGAAACAATCTGGTGAAACTAATGGTTCCTGGTAATCCTCACTGCAATCCCACGAGAGGGTTAGTTCAATCCTTATTTCACACATGAGGAAACTTGCCAGGAGTCACTCAGCCAGCACCAGGCAGATCTGTCACTGAAGCCTGTGTCTGTGACATTTCCCTTTGGTCCCAAGTCCCAGATGGGAGACCTGGGCAGAGATGTAGGGCAGCAGTACCCCAGCTTTCTGCCCTACTCAGATCTTACAGATGACGGAGAAGTATTGCCTGGACCGGGGAATCCCCTTCCCCAGGATTGAGATCCAGCCAGAGGATTTGAAGGATCCCCAAGAGTGCTATTTGTTTACTGAGGCCGAGGACCCCTGCTCACCCATTGTGCTGCACTTTCCTCTTGTCAACCGCAGCTTTCGCACACACCTGGCCCCAGGTAAGGGGAAACACTGGGATGGTGTTGGGGTACTGTGCACAGAGATGACCTCAAAGCCCTGGCTTCTGGATTGCACAGAGTGACCCAGCCTGGCTTCATCTTCCCTCTTCCACCCACCATACAGGTGTGGAGCGGCAAACAGAGGAAGAGAAGGCCTTCGGAGATTTTGTCCTCAATGGGCCAGACACCCCCTACGGCATGACAGACTTCACCTATGAGCCTGAAGAGTATGCTCGGCTGGTGGCCCTGAGTCGCTACAATGTTCTGAACAACGTGGAGACTGTGCGGCAGGCCCTCCTGCTGGCTCTGGACCGGCAGCAGCAGGCTGTGGAGAGGGCTGGGCCTGAGGAGACTGGGGCCTGAGGACTGAGACTGAGGTGAACACACACACACACACACACACACACACACACACACTCCCCATACCTAAAGTACCACAGTTCCCTTTTCAAACAGGGACACCTCTGCTGGCAGCCTTAGCTATCTTGATTCTGGCTCCTAACTGGCCTGGCCTTGGACTCAGAGCCTTCTGGCTGGACGTGAATAATGAGTGCTGGGCTGTGTGCTTGCTGGCATGGCAGCTCGCATCCCTCTCTCACCTCATCTCTGCTGCCTGTGGCAGGTGCTCTCTCTGCTTCTGGGCTCAGCAGTGAGACCAGCTCCCAGGTGGCCCCTGAGCACCATCACCACTGCTCTGCTTGCTGCCTTCGGTGCCTGGTTGACTTACAGCCTCTGGTCTGCCTGACTTTTTAATAACCCACAGCTTCTGGCTCTCTCTGACCCCTGGCATGGAAGCCCCATGAGGTCAGGAATCTTGTCTCCTTTGCTCATTGATGTATGCCCCGTGCCTGGAGCAGCAACCAGCACAAGAAAGTTATTAGCAAACATTTGACAAATAAATGGAGTCTACATCCCAAAGAGATGGATCTTTACCTACCTAGTATGAATTTACAATATTTTATTTCAGTGGTCTATAAACTATGCAGTCATGAACCCTTTTGAAAAGCTGATGAAAACATGAACCTTTACCTAAGACACAAATATGAAGAGCTGCATGCAATAAGGACCTTTGTCATAGGATCAGCGTCCTGGACCAACAAAGTGTATAGGAAATAGGGTAGAGCTTTTGTGTGTGTGTGTGTGTGTGTGTGTGTGTGTGTTTCTTCATTCACATAAGAGGTATAGGAAATACTACTTTGGGTGAGATCAGGTTTGGAGGTCAAACTCAAAACTTATTGCTCTTGAGTCAGAATTGACTCATAGCTAGCCCTCCATTGGGTTTTCGAGGCTGTGTATTGCAAGAGAGGATATTGTCCATTGTTCTCCCTCAGAACTGGAGCTGCTGGTGCATTCGATTGTCAGAATGATGATGTGGGCTTTGCGTCAGCATTATTAATGCAACTCCCAAAGGAATATGCTGTCAGAAGTAAATTATTGCCAAGAAGTTGGTCAACAATGCAGAGGTGACATCAGCTAGGGGATAAGGAAACATCACCAGGGTTACACCTCAGAACCAAGTAGAGTAGGAAAGAGGTAGAGTCAAAGGTGACATGCCAAAGGTCACATCCTGCTGCAGGCAAGAAGGGATCTGTGGCTACACTCAGATCTACCTTCAAATACCTTCTAACACTGGCTGCAGTACAATTCACTGCAGTGCAATTCTTCTAACCCTAACTATAGATTGTTGTTGTTGTTGTTATGTGCTGTCGAGTCGTTTCCGACTCATAGTGACCCTATGCACAACAGCCCTAAACCCTGCTCTATCCTGCGCCAACCACACTGCCTCTAACACACCCATCCCGATTACCCCAGTCACCGAATCAATCCATCTCATAGA